CATTTAAGTTTCTTACATAAAGTCGGGCTCATATTTTGTCCATTGCACATGAATATATGATTTTTGTTCAAATATAATCTACGATATGTTTCTCAAACTACAACTGTTCTTTGGTAACTTCATTGGTCAAAATCAGTTTCTCCTCACTACCTGGATCATGAAGGAAACATCATTGTGCAGAAAGGTCTGACCCAATTCCCAATACACTATTCACGCCAGTCCCTGCGTTAAATAAAGATAGAAGCATAAAACAGATGGACTATTGATACAGGTAACAGGTAAGGATTTTTTGGTTTCTAATCAGATTTTTGCCCTGATTGCTTGGATCTTACAGCTAAAGGGATTTTTTTTCTCAACTGTTAGGATTTTACTTAGTTTCAAATTTCTAAAGATTCTCAGTTTCTGTCTTGATCAAGTCTGCCAAGGACAATGGTATACGCTAATATTATTTCCCTGGCAAACAAAGTTAGGATTTTTAGGCGGCTTCCATGAGTTTCAAATGTGCGTATAACAAAAATATTAACAAAAATTCAGTTACAGACAAGTGCGGAGAGCAAAATCTATTTAATTCTATAATGATTAAAGGTTATTGGCTGAAAGTTTTAATGCATATTTCAGTCTTCTGATAAGCAACCTATATCTTATCATTAGTCTTTTGGTTCGGATGAGGCTGATTATGGTGAAGATATCCCTCAAGAAGCTGTGTGCAGGATCTGTTTGGTAGAACTTGGGGAGGGCATGGACGCCCTAAAGATGGAATGCTACTGTAATGGCGAACGTGCCCTGGCTTACCAGGAATAAGCTATTAAATGGTTTAGCATAAAAGGAAATAAAAGATTAAATTGTGTTTAATCTGTTGCAATAGCTCGATTCAGGCAAGTAAATAATTGAGTTTTTTCCTGCTACTTTATAAGTAGTGTCTATTAAACAATCTCATCGAAAAAATTAAATTGTTGGAGAGGGGACAGTCTTAATTATTTAGACTGTCTTCACATGCACCTCTCATACAGGCCATATTCATTTCATTATCAAAAACTCCATTCGTGCACAATTTTCATAAACAAGTGGCAGTGAGACCTGAAGTCAAGCTTTTGCGTGCTCTCATGTTATTTTAAATCCATCTAAAAGTTTAAACTATGAGCCCGTCTGGAGAAAATTAAAAGGAAAAATCCTACCGTTGCTTTCCCACTTGCAGCCGCCGTTGTTGACTAGCTAACTCACATGTGGGTCCCAGATGATCTCCAAACGGCAAAAAAATGGCCAATCTAACGGTCAGCATTTTCCTTTTAATTTTCTCCAGACAATGCCTTAACCGTTGGAAATAGTGCCCAGCCGC